CAGTTCTCGTGAGAAAGCATGAATATCCATTGATGTCAATGAGCTTGAAGTCACTGAAGTACATTTTGCTCAAATCTTCTTTCGTCAGCAACTGGAGAGTTGGTGCAGCAAGAGGACCCTGCTTATGTCAAGGAACAGGTTATAATGCTGCCTTTTTATGAACATGGAAAATGGTACACAACAGGACTCGAGAGATGAACTTTCTACATGCCATTAAAGTGAAAGTTGAACGCTTCTGTGAGATCATATTAAGTATGCTTAGGGAGAAAACAGATTTGGAAGACTGCTTTGGTGCTTCCAAAGCAATTAGACATGAAAATCATATACACATCATGCCGATTGATTCTGTCCATGATTAGTGTGAACAATTAGCTACCTACCCCATTAAGATTTTTGAACCATGAATCAGGTTGAAAAAACGGTTCACCAGGAACCAGGTTCCATGTGTTGCATTAACAATTTCATAGGACTTTGGAATTGAATGTTTTGACACTCCACTCCAGGCATTTCTTAACCACAAAAGCAAGACCATGGAGGAAGCTTTACTTCCACCAACCAAGAAAAGGATAGCCAGACCTGCTTAACTGCTGTCTAAGATAAACCAATCCAGTGAAGCCCAGAAGGCACTCTAAAGTAATCAAGATTTGATTTAGCTACTAGCAAGCAAGCACCATTGCTTGATACCTAAATCAATTAGTAGATACAACTAAATGGCATTGATGTCTCTCTTATGATTCATCAACCTGAAAACCATAGTTAACAATTGTAAAGAAACCCACCAGATACATAACATCACAAAAATTAATGTTTTACTATCAATATACATCAAGATCAATCTTCTGGTCTTCATACTGAACTACTGTCATGCCACCACATAGTAGGATATTGACCAAACACAATCGTCTTGCTAAAAGGAGTCATCACACAATATTTTGACAAAAAAATTCAAACACAACAGGCTATCACAGAATTCACTGACAAACTGCAAACACTATGCACTATCCTAGCACTCATAGTCTATACATCACTGGGCAGATACTGAAATTAAAAATCCTATATATGCCACAGCTGAAACACAAAGCAGAAAATCATTTTTCTGGGAACAATCTACATTCGGTCATAAATTTTGATTGCAGTCATTGATATAGGCCCTGTTTGTTTCAGCTTTTCTGAGTCTCGCTTATAAGCTGAGCAGGCTTATCTAATAAGTCACGATCTGGAGAATTTGCTGTCTGAATAAGCTGGGCGTTTGGCTGTCCTGATTATTTATGGTAGATTATCTATTCTGGAATATTTTTAAAGTTTGAGATAGCAATATGGTTCCATTAAATTGCAATGTACAATAATAGTCGTAAATAACATCCATTTGGGTATTGTAATTGCTACAAAATACTCAAGTTTCTAACAATGAATCACCCAACCAACGCATTAGCAATAGCATCACGGAAAGCACACATATTCATATCATCCGAACGCAGGCGCAGACAGGCGCCAGATCCCATGCGGTGGGACGCCAGGCGGAGTGAGAGACGCAGACGATTTAACGGATTTAGCAGAGGGAAGAAAAGGAAGGACGCGCGCACGCGCGAGCTTCGCTCCTCGCAACACAGATCCGCCAGCTCGAACCCCCTCCAAGACCTACACAAGTTGCGCGCCGCTCGCAGAAGAAGAAATGCATCACCTGCAGTACCTCGGAAGAGGATTCGATAAGAGGAGGAACGGAGAACGGCGAGCGCCATGTTGCTTACTCCGGACACAATCGGCAACACGGAAGGGAGGCGCAGCGTGAGGCGCGCCGGCTGGAGATCGAAGGAGGAGGGGGACGGCGCGGCGCACTACTAGCCGGGAAGCGGCGGCGGAGAGGCAAGCGGCGCCGGGAGGGAGCGAACGGGGGAAGGAGCGAGCACGGGACCGCTCGGGTCTGAGGGCATGGAGAGGAAAAGCCTGCGCGATTTGGAAAAAGCTGGGTTCGGCTCGCGATCTGGGAAGCGTTGCGGGCGACCGTGAGTCGCGGAAGCGCGTTCGCTGATAGGCTCGTAACGCAAGGCGTTTGTGCGGGCTTTTCAGCTTATCTTGCTCAGAAGCTGAGCAAACGCTCTCCCAAACAGGGCCATAGTACTAGATTAAAACCGCAATGTGTCAAACAAGCCTCTCCATCTATCTAGTGATCTTGCTGCACATTTGAAATCAATCATATCTTTTTTTTTTCAAACACTTGGCCTGTTGTCACTCTATCGCCAGCATATCTCCATATATCCTAAAAACTCCATTCCCCGAAGTAATACCACTCAGGAACATAATATAATATTTACCCATCGCAGTCAGTCATCAACTGAATCAGAGCATGAAGAGGGCAAGAAACGGCAGTGACCTGCAATGCGAGCAGCGATCGCTCGTCGTGGATGTGCCACTTGACGTCTCCGCCCTTCTTGTTGAACGCCTCCATGTGCGCCTCGATGTGGGCGAGGTCCTTGTCCCTGCACCCGGCGTTGACGACGAGGTAGATGTGCTGGTCGGTGACCTTGGTGACGACGGAGTCGTCGATGGCGCCTCCCTTCTCGTTGGTGAAGACGGTGAGCGTGCCGGTGCCGTCCCTGAGCGCCGCGACGTCGGCGATGACGAGGGACTCGAGGAAAGGGATGGCGTCGCGGCCCCTGAGGCTGAGGCCGCACATGTGGGCCACGTCGAAGAGGCCCCCGTTGGCGCGGCAGTTGACGGTGGAGTCCATGATGGAGTCCCTGTACTGGATGGGCATGCTCCAGCCGGCGAACGGCACCATCTTGCCGCCGTGGGCGACGTGGAAGTCGTAGAGCGCCGTCTTCTTGAGCTCGGCCTCCGCCGCCTCCGCGGCGCCCGCCAGGTGGCGGACGCGCGCGGGCGCGAAGGCGGCGCGGCGGGCGAGGGTGGCGCACGCGAGGAGGCCTCTCATCGTCGCGAGCCCCGGCAGGCAGGTGGCGCGGGGTTCTCTTGATTGATTAGATGCTCTTGGAGATTGGTGGGAGGGGGTGGGTGGAGACGGTGAGATCGGGATCGGGTGTGTGGTGGTGCGCGCGCTCGTAGCAAAAGGCAGCAGCAGGTTTGGTGGTGGTGACGGATCAGTGAGTTATCAGTGCTCGCTCGCCTGTGTGGTTTATGGGTTATTTTTTGCACGTCTTTTGTCGGGTTTGGTGGTGGATCGTGACGGATCCTCGACTAAAACCTCACCCACTCCGTGCAGGGTGCAGGGAGCAGGGCTGGTTTCCATCCACGCTGTGCGGTTCGGATCGGGATAAAAAGATTGCAGCGACTCAGTTGAGTTGTGGGCCTGTAAATAAAACAAATCAAAAGATTCTTCAGCACAACATTGCTGATTTGGTAGCACATAAGAATGTTTAATGGAAGACAAATTATGATATCGTCGTATTCGGGCGATTCTAACCAAATTCATTCAAACTGTGCTGGGAAAACGCTATTAAAAAAACAATGCATGCAGTATACACGAAGTTTTCATAGCTATGTACGTATTTCTTGTAGAGAACTTGAGAGTTCAGACACTCGAGAGATGGTGGGCTGGTGGCAGAACGACTGCACTGAACGACTGAACGAGACCAGGAAAGGAAGGCACAGCAGGCTCATACGTTTGCAGAGAGGGATAAACTGAGGGATGTCAGTGTCCGGCAAGAAGCCATGCCCTCGCCACTTCATGCACCAACTCATCCGGAACTGTAGAAATTGTATTCTGATGACCACTACCATATGGGATTACGGAAATCTCAATCGCAACATAACATTTTCCAGACAGTTAAGGGTAAGCGGAAAAGCAACTAGATAAACATAGCCTTATACTTCCTCCATTCCAAATTATAAAACATTTTGTTTTTTCTAAATAATTTTTTTTTTGCTACGCAGTCTAGATATATAGCAAAAATAATATATCTAAAAGGCCAAAACATCTTATAACTTGCAATGGAAGGAGTATATCAGAGCAAAAATGATTCTGCAGTCTACCGCAACCCTAACTGCAAACTCAAAATAATACCCCCGTACCGAATTGTCAGTACCAATGAGACATTGCAAACTGGACCAGAATTCAATAATCGGATCTAAAACTACAAAACTCATGTCCTTTTTGTTGATGCCAGTCAAGAAAACACCGCAACGGCTCACGTTCATCTAAAAACTCTGCTTTAGAAATGTTACTTCCTCCATTCTAAATTGTAAGTCGTTCTAGCTTTTTTTTTAATACGTAGCTTTTCCTATGTATCTAGGTGCATACAAGCTGTGTATCTAAAAAGACAAAATGACTTAGAATTTGAAATGAAGGGAATATTACCTATGCACGGCTCTATATAGGTATATTCACAGGCTTAAAAAATGATAAGGTCCATACCGAATTCTATCGGTACCAACGAGGCCTTGCGAACTGTACCGAATTCTATCAGTATCAATGAGCCTTGCAAATTGCACCAGATTTCGATGGTCACCGGCTAAGATGTTATCCAATCACACAGTGAACTAATGGTGAAGCATCTAACACTTTCTATTTGCTTCACCATCGATAGGATCCAACATGCAAAGGATAATCAATCACATGCTTCAGTAAGTAGGCTACGCCCGATTTGAGCAGCAACCGATTGCGCATTTGCACTCACATCCACCCTGTTACCATAGGTGAACCAAACACAACATGTAACCATCGATTCACTTCCCATTCCAGCGACGAAGATATTCTCTACCAAACAGCACTAAAAGTTCAAAAGGCCTTTACCTTTATGCAACCAAACAGCACCTAAAAGTTCAAAACTCATGTCTCTTCGTTAATGTCAATCAGGACACCACAGCGCCTCACATTCACCTCAAACTCTGCTTCAAAAATGCTAGTATCGATGGCACGGCTCTATATAGGTGTATTCACAGGCTTTCATCTCCCAGACACGAAATCGGATAAAAACCGGATAAGAAAAATTTCACGACACTCTGATTAGTCTGGCGGTAGACACCCAGTGAGTTCTGCGAGCGTCTTATGACTTGGACCCCGAAGTTTTCTTTGAAGATGCTTTCTTCTGCTTCTTGGGTGCGGTCTCGATTGCCTTCTCAGCATCTGCAGCCTTCTTCTTGTCTTTCCTCTCCCTTTTCTTAAGAGCATGCATATGGGCCTTAAGAACTGTTGCGTATGAAGCTTGGAACTTTGCGTACTCCTTTAGAGAGACCTGGAGGACATCAGAAGTTGAATTACAGTAAGTTTCGTGAACTCATTCCATGAGCCATGCAAATGACTTGAGAGTAAACATAGAGTTCCAAAAGGTTGGGATAGTGTTTCGGAGCAGGAAGGAATGAAGGATACATGAAATTCCCATGAATTAAGCATCACGACAACAACAAAAGAAATTGCAAATGAGTATGCTCACCTTGGAATTGCATGGAAAATACCAATGTCAACATCTAGGTAAATATAACACTAGCAGGCTTATCAATCTCTACTGAAGCATTTGGTCAAGAAGATGCCTTAATTGGCTGTGCACAAATTTGATACAAGGACAAGTAATGTGCACAATATAGAACAAAACTAATCACATATAGTTATTAATCTGTGTTACCAGAATACAATTTTCCTTGCAGTCATATTTCCATGATGAAGAAAATGCAAAGTTACAAGAATTACAACAATAGAAACCAAACAATGTTTATGCTATTTCATCATTTAGAAAGTACAACTCAGAAAACACAAACGTATAAATGATATACATTATTAGCAATGATATCCTATGGATTCCAGTACTAAGAAGCTGATTTCTATAGTTTCCCTCTACTTTCCATCATGCTAGAATGCTACAGAAGAGAAGCTCCACATACTGCCAAAGCTATATGTTCTACCCCATGTGGCCTTTGGCCTTGACTCACTCCACTAGTCGTCATATGATTTCTAACATTGAGGACACTGTTTTGATTTACGAAGGTTGTAGGGTTTCCATATACTTTTTCTACATACCTAACAAAATGGCACACCCTACCACCATGTGTTTATAATCAATAACCACGATGTTTTAGCACATAGGCAAATACAAACGAAAATGTCTGATCCTAGATTCATACTCATAGCAACTGATGAATGGACATAATTAGCAACGAATTTGCTAGCAAACTGCTCACCAATCACCACTACACACTACACAGTATGCACAAAACCAGCAATCTTATCCAAAACTAATCACAGCCGCAGAACAAGGATGGTCACAGTACCGAGGTGGAGATGCTCTTCTTGCCATCAGAGGCACGGATGAGGCACCGGTGCTCTACCTCCTGCCCCTTCTTCTCCATCTTCTGCAACTGTGCCTTGCCCTTGAGAGTCGCTGCCCCAAAACAACAATAACAACGCATCAAGGGTCAGACCTCAACTCCTCAGCCGCTCCAATCTGCAAATCAACACGCAACAGAGAGGGCACTCACATCGCTTCATGGTGACCCACACGGATCCCTTCTCCGTGCTCCGCTCGTACATGCTCGTCAGCTCGCTCAGGAACCGATCTGGTTGCAGGACCACCTGAACAAAGCCACACAGATCAGGGGCGGACCCAATAAAGGACATGGGTGTACGCATCTAAACCCGATAACTTTTTTGCAAAACAATCGAAGTCAATCGAAGTTAGTAGGCATAATTCATGTATACGCTTGCGATTAGATCAGGTCCGATTACAAATTGCCAAATAGCTTAGGTTAGGCTTTGGGTGCTGCTCGGTTTCGCACAGCAGGGAGAGAAGAGAAGGGGTGGCGTACCATCTTTGGGTGCTCGTTGCCGGAGAAGAGGCCGACGAAGATCTGGGCCGTAGGGCGGCGACGGCGGCGTCGGCGGTAGCGTAGTCGTCGCGCTGAGATAGGAGAGACGGAGCACGCCGGGCGAACGAATATAGCCCGGGCGGGGGGCTGTTCGGCCGAGGGCCGAAGGGGAGCGCAACCGGACGGGCCTTCTTCTCCTGCGTATGGGCCCGTTCGTTGTTTCAAACAATTATTTACATTTTTTTCTTATTTCTTTCTTGCTTTTTTAGTTTTTTATTATTTCTATAATTTGTATTTACTCATTTCATGGAACAGATGGATGGATGAATATTTTTTGGTTTTAAATTATTGATGAAACCGTGATGATAATATTTATTGGAACATTGTAAATTAGCAAAGGGAATATCTTTAATTTTATGAAGGTGGATCTTTTTTTCTCATGAACCTTGAAACATTTTTCTCTTGAATTTGAACCTGGAACATTTTTGTCCTAAATATTGGACCAATTGTTCCATAAGGATGTAAACCAAGGGCATTCGGCTCAAATAAAAAAATATTTCAACTTTATTAGAAAATATTCTCTAAGAAAATATCATCAAAATGCATCAAGGGCGGGTCTTGTTTTTAATATTTCATCGTAAGAAACACAATGGTGCAATCATAATTTTATTTGGATGCATTATTCAGAAACTATGACTTTTTGTCTCAATTTTTTTTTTTGTCGTAGGTGAATAAGGTTCCTCCACTCGAACAAATTAATACCATTCCAGTATCAACCAAAATGGCCGGTATATCTCATACTTATGACTAGATCCACTTTGGTACATAAGTAGTTCCATCTCGTCCCAGCATCAATGCGGGCCAATACTAGTTAATATCAGTCACTCCGCCCTATATCAGTCATTCCGGTTATACCATGGCCGGTGTCAAAACTCAAGTAAGACCTGTTTGATATGCAATTTTATGACTTATTGAAGCATAAAATCAAGCACAGCTGAGCAAAATTGAGCTGAAAATAATGAAGTCATAGAGTGACCGACATCCGACATGTCAATGTCATGTCTTCATTTGGATAAGCCTTTGAAATTGTAAGCACTCAAGGCTTGATGGGTCAACAGTCTGAATGGTACACGCAGAGAAATGAGAAAAGGCCGCACATGGGCCAAGAGGTCAAAACCAATCCGATGGGCCAAGACAGCCATGCCAGGGCAACACACTTTCAGTGCTGCACAACAGCAAACGAAGCAAAGCCTACATCCGATGTCGCTCTCAGTGATAACACGATCGCGGGTGATATCTTTCAGCGACGTGAAGCCGCTCAGCGCCATGGTGATCTCCAGCTCATCCCTCAGCATCCGTAGTTCATTCCTCACCCCAGCCTTGCCGTCCACAGCAAGGGCGAACAGTACGGGCCTTCCAATCTGACAGAGGACAAGCATGACCATGAATGCACGATGCAGTACATGTCAACAAATGTTCACGCATTGACATTGTTCAGTCAGAGTAATCCAGCAGCGGACTTACAAATACTCCTGAGGCTCCCAGTGCCAAGGCCTTGCACACATCAGTGCCACGGCGGATGCCGCCGTCAAGGAACACAGGCACACGGCCCTTTGCTTCTCTTACAACCTGAAATTTTCCTTGCCAAGGTAAGTTAGCATCAAACCATGAACCAGAGATATCCTAGGCAGCTGTGCAAACGTGCCTGTGATTGATTTGCATACCTCTTCCAGGCAGCTGATGGTTGCAGGAAGATAGTCTAGCTGGCGGCCCCGTGGTTGGACATAATGATGCCGGCAACACCGCATTCAATAGCAAGTCGAGCTGCAAATTTGCAAATGTTTTATGGGATCATAGATCTGGTTGAGTGGCGTAGCATTAAAAAAAATAACTGAAACCAAATACTTACCATCTTCTGCTGTTATGACTCCTTTCACTAAGATAGGCAACCGGGTAATCATCTGTAGCCACTTGATATCCTGCATTACATTGTGTTGATAGTTCATTTTCACTGAGGTTTATGCATGAGATATTGTCCTCTGATGGTTGAAGTCATTGATAGCAACTAACATTAGCTGATTAGTATGTTGCAAATCCTACCTTCCAGGAAAGAGAGCTGTCAATATATGCAGCAAGGCCGGAAGCATTAGTCTGAAATATCAATATCACAAAACAGCTGTTGTGAAAATAATATAAAAAAGAAATGAGATATATTCATCTCAATTTTTACCCCCATGCAATTAGACCAGCTCAAATTTTCAGAAAACCTTGTCCATTTTGCTGAGATCCAGTCCTTCAAAGCACTTCAATGCCACATTTTCAGGCAGCGTGAATCTAGTGACACATAGAACAATACATAATTTGTTGTAAAGATGTACTACTCAGATACAGAACTCCTGCTTAAACTGCATTGTATATATTCAAGATGCAGACCTGTTCCTAACATCAGCTTCCCTGCGACCAAGCCGTGGAGCATCGACAGTGACGGCAATTGCCTTATAGCCAGCATTTTCAGCCCTTCTGACAAGAAGTTGCACAATATCCCTGTCCTTGAATACCTAAATATGGAAATGACAGTAAACAGGGGAAAGTTCAAAGCAAGCAGGGAAAAAGGTAAGAATGTAAATATGTAATGATGAGCATGAACTTCATACTGAAAGTTGGAAGAAACGGAGTCCTGGTGCACTTAACTTCCTCAATGCTGCAAGATGACCATGAAGACAATGTCTGAAAATTTAACCAGTAAAGGAATTAATATGTGAGCCATCACTTAGCCGATATAAAGGTGCGATCTTGCAAACCATTATAGTTCCTGCAGCAGCTGTTGCCTGGGCAGAAGCAACCTCTCCTGCATTTCAGATGAACCTCCATAAAAGAACTTTCTTTTTAATGTGGCCAAAAGTAAAGAAAAAAAAGTGAATTGTAGCAACAAGATAGAACCTTCTTGGTGGGCCAGTTTTGTGCAAAGCAGTGGGAGCCACCATAATTGGCGAGGCAAGGGATCTTTCCGAGCTCGATCTGTTGCTCACACACTACTCGGACGCCATGCACACTGCATGTGAGTTGTGAGGTCTCCGAGGATCCGATGATGGAGGAGATTGCAGCCTCGCTCGCGGGCTGTTGGACGGCGGCCAGTGACCGCCTCGAACTCCCTACTCAGATGGCAATGGACACTCCACTGTCGTCTGAGCACGGTCAGGCTCAGGTCACGCCACCTCGGGTGGTGCAGACCACCCACCCAGGAGCTGGCGCGCCTACGGAGGACGAGGTGGGTGGTCCGCAGGGCTTTGGTCCGGCCGAGCCGACGGATGCTGACATGTTTAGCACGCCGCCTCGGGACGACCACACGGGCGACGTCAGCGATAGCTCTGCCACACGCCGCCTCAAGAGCTTCATCAGGCGAGTGCCGAAGAAGGTCGACTCTCCGCTAATTCGTGAGCCTCCCAAGCAGCCCCTGCTAAGCCGGCGCTCCGTTGCGGAGCAGACGACTGGCGACTCAGAGCCTCTCTCGAGTACCTGCTTCCGAGCGAGGTGATGTCTTTCATGCAGCGTATGGGCTACACCAAGGATCCATTAGCGTTGGAACCGAAGGCCTTTAACAGGATCTTCGACAACAACTTGACTGTGTCCAACGTCGTAGCACTGGACGCGCTCTTCGCGGATGGCGGCAAGAGTTCATCCAGGCAGCCGCGAAGACGCAGTGCCTAGGTTGCTCCGCTGCGTCGATGATCACTCAAATGGTCTAGCGATTACCTCACTAACATGATGATACTGTCCCTTATGTCAGTGACATGGGTTCACTTGTCAGTGACTGCGTCTCAGAGACTCACATTATGAAAAGTCTTCGCCCCATGGTCAAAAAAGCAGTCGAGTGAGCTTATATGCTTTATCCCCAGTCCCCCCCGAGTCCGCGTAGGCGCAAACCCGACGGCGTCCCATTCGACACAGCATAACGCTTGCAGTGTCGCCGGAGACGAGCACCATGAGCCCCATCACCGGCTATCGCAGCGCCGCCTCCTCCTCCTCCCTCACTATCGTGGGGGAGCGGAGATCCCCCGTGCAGGCACCGCGGTTGAGTGCCGACGATTACCGCTCTCTGGACGAGGTGACGACTGACGACCCTTTCCTTTTTCTTTTCGGTCTCCCAATTCCATGCTCTTCATCACATACAAGCACTATGGCCAGCTAGATCTGGCTTATCATCAGCTTGACGGGCGTCTAAGCAAATTTAGCTAGATCTGGCTTATCATCAGCTTGACGGGCGCCTAAGCAAATTTCTTTTATACGATGGAGGATGTAATAATCGCTGCTAGGTTGATTGAAAATTTGAACCTTATTCTCGGCTTTGATTTTACAAGGAGCAATACATGGAATGGTTAGTGTTCCAGATTGTTGATGTTCTGATTTTAACTTTCTTTGTGGATAAATAGTTTGTATTCTGAATATTAACTTTCTTTGTGGATAAATAGTTCTGATTTTACAAGGAGCAATACCGTCGGGAGGAGGTCGCCGGGGAGGGAGGGAGGGAGGGAGAGAGAGAGAGGTGGAAGAAGGGGGGGTCGGGCACGGTCGACTGATGCGGAAGCGAAATATTAGGCGACCGTCATCGAGCATTTCTGAATTTTAAAACGATTATCATTTCGAGATGGAGGGTGTAACATTTAATATTTCTATATGACTCCTAATAAGATTATATAAAACCGTATGAGAATACGAGTTGGACTAATATATCGAAGGAGGCCCAAGTCTCGTAAAGTCCTTTCCATGTACCCAAACCCAAACCAACAAACAGCGCCATTCAACACTGCCAACTACGACTACGGTGCAGGTGCAGACGTCATGAACCGGCACACACATACGCAGCTTCCTTATTATTTGCCTAACGTAAAATGAGAGCACAACAGCTACGAATAGCGTTATCTCGAATTAGGACAGTTCATTCGAGACCAACAGCATGCTGAGCTGAGCTGTACATTCTACAGCCGCGAGCGGCCGATCCTGTCGCTGTCAGTGATGACGTGGGCGCGGGTGATCTCCCTCAGCGACGTGCAGCCGCTGAGCGCCATGGTGAGCTCCAGCTCGTCCCTCAGCATCTGCAGCACCTTCCGCACGCCGGCCTCGCCGTCCACTGCCAGCGAGAACAGCACCGGCCGGCCGATCTGCAGCACCAATCAACAGTGTTAGGTGTCAAGCTTGAACGAGATAACAGTGTTAGCAGTGCCCGGACGCCTAAACAATTAATTTGGTCTGCTCTTAAGGGACAGGAATTGATGCATTTGTTTAATTGTTCTATTTTGTGAATATATATCAACTTGTTTGTCCTTAATGTGATCCGTAGTGTTAGCAGGAGCAATATACTAGTGTTACATAAAACAGAAGGACTAGAAGTATAGAATAGACAATTTTACACATTTATAGTATAGATAGATAGATAGATAGATAGATAGATAGGAGAGAGTAATCTAACGCGTTGTCGTACATCATGTAGTGGCGCTAGCGAAGCAGGAGCATCCAAATCGACAACGGCAGACTGAGAGCAAGGCTAATAATACAGCCTGCTGCTAGTTGTATGAATCTTTACGGTCTACCTCTCAGTCCACCAAAATTATAGTTAGCTCTTCACAATCAATACATGGTCCACTTATCTCTTATAAAGTTTTTTTTATTATATATGTAAGCCGGCTGTAAGCTAATAGTTCGCTTTCCTCTCACTCCTCTTCTATCTCCTCCGCGGTAAAGTTATGGGTGACTTTACCTCACTTCGATGCCATCCAATTCCCATCCAACGGTTGATGAAGTCTTCACTTTTTTATTACTACTAGTGCCTAACCTGGATGCAAATAACAGTTCAATTAAAGCCCAGTTCATTGACAAATGAGTTATATAGCTGCCGGAATTTTTTTTCTCTGTGCACTTTATCTTTTATATCATAACTTTTACGTATAAGCTTGGATAAAGATAAAAAAATTTGAAGATGTGCTATATGTAACGGCATAAATAAATTGCTCCAATAATCAACTCGCTAGTGTTGCTATGTAACGGTGTTGCATTTCGCTAGTGTTGACACTAACAAAGAAAAACGGATATCCTATTTTAAACATAGGATAATCTGAATAGAATTTATGGATAATCCATATCTACCGTTTTTTTTTCTATTCTATATCCTATCCCGCATCCGCACATATTCGGATTCGAATTATCCGTATCCGCATGGATATTAAAGATCTCCTCTATATCCTCAAAATTTGAATTTGGATCGGATCGAAGAATTATCCACATCACTTTGATTTTTTGATACTCAACTAGAATTTAGGGCCTATATTATGAGACTCATGCTCAGCTAAATAGCGAGTAGCCAAACTAGTTAGGCCAGTCTCAGTGGGGAGTTTTATTTTCCAGATTCCAAGACTCAATGTGTTGGCTTGAAAACGGTGTAGATTTATGCATTTATAAGTCGGTGCATGCCATTGCGAGAATGACATTTTTTCAATAATAAAGATTTATTAAAACCTAATTAAATCTTTATAAAATTCATACTAATTCATTACAGCTCAGAGAAATATTAAATTTTGTATATTTTTTTTTCTAAAGACAAGCTTTACCTTTACATAGTGAAGCTATGCTTGAATGTATTTGGATCTTTTGATTCTGTTGGAATTCATTTTTATGTGATATATATCTACTATTTTAAGGTTTTATTGTTGTCATAAGTCAAACCATTTTTAAGTTTATTCTATAAAAAAACAATGTTAAGTTGACTAAAGTTTATGTTTTTATCCTCTTTTTTATATCACAATCATAAACACGTGCGTGCCGCACATGCATGTCCACTAGTAAAGATAAATTTCATACCAAAATTGTAGATACTAAAGAGGTGGCCCCACTTGTAGTTGATAATATTTTCGTTTAAAACCATCTTAATACTGAAATAATCGATATACTGTTTAGTATATAAATTTTTAGACACCAAAATGAATTTAAATGAAAAAAAGACATGAACTACAAAATTCTAGATTTTTTTGAGCTGTACAACTTTATATACATTTTATTTATTTTTATCTGAGCTCACATGTTTTTTAAGAGTCCGTTGCTTTTTTGTTCATCTCACTTTTGAACTAGGCGTTATTTGGGCCGAGCATTATAACGGCCGGCACACATAAAGTCGTTTTCTTCCCCGGCTATTGGATGTTAAATGAAAGGCATCGGAGAAAGGTGGAAAGTCACCCGTAACTTACACGGCGAGTCAGAGAATCTGCGCCGGACCCATACCCGCCGGCCGCCAGCCGCCAGCCGCAAGCCCAGCGCCCCAGCCCCACGCGTCCACACGACACGAGTAGCGCTGGAATTGCCGCATTGGACTTGGGCAGTTGGGCGACCAACCAACGGACGGCGCGCGCGAGGCCAACTTGGCCGGGGGCACGCGGGGGCACTGATCACTCAAATGGTCTAGCGATTACCTCACTAACATGATGATACGGTCCCTTATGTCAGTGACATGGGTTCACTTGTCAGTGACTGTGTGTCAGAGACTCACATTATGAAAGCTTAGTCTTCGCCCCATGGTCAAAACGCAGTCGAGTGAGCTTATATGCTTTATCCGCGTAGGCGCAAACCGGACGGCGTCCCATTCGACACAGCATAACGCTTGCAGTGTCGCCGGAGCCGAGCACCATGAGCCCCATCACCGGCTATCGCAGCGCCGCCTCCTCCTCCTCCCTCACTATCGTGGGGGAGCGGAGATCCCCCGTGCAGGCACCGCGGTTGGGTGCCGACGATTACCCCTCTCTGGACGAGGTGACGACTGACGACCCTTTCCTTTTTCTTTTCGGTCTCCCAATTCCATGCTCTTCATCACATACAAGCACTATGGCCAGCTAGATCTGGCTCATCATCAGCTTGACGGGCGTCTAAGCAAATTTAGCTAGATCTGGCTTATCATCAGCTTGACGGGCGCCTAAGCAAATTTCTTTTATACGATGGAGGATGTAATAATCGCTGCTAGGTTGAGTGAATTTATCCCCAACCCCAAGCTCGAGCTATCGTTATAAACATGTGAACTGTGGGTTTAGTTACTATACTCAGCTCTTAGGGAGAGCGGGACTGGGAAGGGACTTGCGATGCCTTGTTTCAGGAGTGGAATGCAGCAAATTAGGGGATTTAGGGGGATCCACCCAACTAAAGTTTAGCTAGCTAAAATTTCGAAGCTAAACTTTAGCTAGGGTGTTTGGATCCTCCAGCTAATAGACTCAGCTAAACTTTAGCTGGCTTTAGCTGGGTTGAAACAGCAACTCAGCTAAACTTTAGCTGGTCCTTTAGCTGGACTGTTTGATCCCTAACAGCTAAATTTAGTCAGCTAAAGTTTAGTTGGTGGATCTGAACAGGCCCTTGGGTTAAATAGGTTTTTGGATCCATCCATAAATGAATTCAACAAATGTGTTTGGATTGGTAGGATATGGATGGGTTAGGTGGGTCAAAGCATGCAGCGACCATGTCATCACGCGATGTCGTTGGTGAGGCCGAGGGCGGCCAAGGCCATACGGCAAGGTGGTGGCATCATGGGAACATGCACCTAGACCTTGCAGACGTCTTAGCAGCTCTCGGTGGCGCCTAGTGCAGTGGTCAGCTGCTGGGAGGCCTTGCTGTAGATGCGCGTGGGTAAAGGTTGTCAAGCGATTCATGATTCATGCAGCACAAGCAGCAAATTTATCTTCTGTGTGTTCAGTTAAGCCATGTGAGGAGTGGTTGGTTTTAGGATATGAATTCATAAACCTTCAATGTCTACTATTAAACTTCCCCACGCTTCTACTGTGGCTGGCAAATGCCTCTATGCTTCTATTAAATCTCCCTATGCTTCCGGTGCATGTCCAGTGTAGTAATTTCATGAAGGTTGCATCTTTGCTATCAGGTTGCTAAGTTTTTACATGAGGGTGGCCTTGAAAATTTGAACCTCATTCTCGGCTTTGATTTTACAAGGAGCAATACATGGAATGGTTAGTGTTCCAGATTGTTGATATTCTGATTTTAACTTTCTTTGTGGATAAATAGTTTGTATTCTGAATATTATTTTGGCTCTTCGTGCTTACATATTTTTTCTTTATTATTACAAGGTCAAAATTCCTTCAATGGGCGTAGTTTACATGCCATTGGCCCTACTCCAAACCCTTATGCGCAAGTAATCAAAATTATTGGAGAAGCTTCATCGAACTTTTATGAACACCCCGATATCTCAATACAATGCTTCGGATTTGGAGATGGTACTGACAATGTGCAATCTCTACATATCCTAGACATTATACAAGTTAGAAAATGACTTCAGTTTTTTACTTATAAGTGCCCCTACATCCCACTTGTCTGCATCGCAATGATTTTCTTTTCAAATTTGTACATCTTTGCAATTTAGTCAACTCTGAACTGTGTTTTTTTTATATATTTTTCTAGTATGATCCATTATCATAACACCACAATCTATATGTTTGGCAGAGTCAACACGCGACAAAGATGTCTTTTGTTTCAATCTTAATGAGAGGCCTTGTCATGGATACAGAGAAGCCTTAGATCGTTACAAGGAACTAGTTCCTCATTTGAAATTTGCTGGTAAGTTGTTATTTGTTATTATGTTTTCACTTCTGTATTTCAGTTAAAGTAAGATGACGAACCATAACACCAACATAATTATTTTTCCAACAGGACCAACATCCTTCGCACCGCTTATTGAGATGGCCATGACTGTCGTAGAGCGAAGTGGTGGGCGACACCATGTGCTATTGATAATTGCTGATGGACAGGTAGTGATTTCAGTCTTCTTGTTTGAATGTAGATGTGGTAATGGAGTTGGCGTAGGCAATGTGATCTTCTTTGAACTTTTAAGTTCAATGTTATAGAAATGCGTTGTTAGTTGTCTTGAATCCTGATGTGGGAATGCAGCTATAAATTGAAAATTTTTAGTGCTTTCTATTGAACCACATAGGCTTTGTTTTGAATATCAGTACGTTTGAAGATTGGTCTGTAGATCTAACAGTTTAATTTTTTTGTTATTGGCTCTTAAATATTCCTCAGCTCAGGTATATTTTCCGTTTTAGAATTTCAGTGGTCAGCTAAAAAATGACCCAGATAGTGAGTAATAACAGGTTAGGGAGAAGAAAGCTTGCTGTCTCACTCACATTAGTCACATAGGATGATAGGAACAATACCTTTCCTCAACTTTGACCACCCATATATACACAACTGTATAGTTTGGTTCACATAAAAATAGTAAAGTTAGACTTGTTATGACTAAAACTTGCCAAATATTATATTTTACGATTTTTACTGATGCATTACTGTGTGTTTTCAGGAGGCTGTACGAATAGATAATGAATCTGGCCAAGTGACAGTTCAGGACCGAAAGACTATTGATGCCATTGCAAGTGCTAGGTAAATCTTGATTGACCGGTCATTTCGTTACAATGGTTCCACTGTGCACTTATGCTGAAAAGATTTGTCACATCAAACTTTAAAGATGCCCATTTAGTCATTTTTCTGTACAGAGTTTGCATTTTGACTAGTTTCTGAGTATGCCACTCACTATCCCATGCATGTGTAAAAATATGCAGCAACTTTCCATTGTCCATCATTTTAGTGGGTGTTGGCGATGACCCTTGGGACATGATGCAAGGATTTGATGATGCCATTCCAATGCGGGCTTTCAACAATTTCCAGGTATGTATAAAAGCTATACAGCTGTTTCCTCTGATATGATTTTATGATTTTGCCAATAATTTTTTAAGAAGTTAGATGTTTAACGTCTCTCTTACCTCGTGAAACTATCTCCACTTGTAGTTTGTGAATTTTTCAGAGATTATGTCCAGAGAAACTGCAAAATCAAGGAATGAAGCTGCATTAGCATTTGAAGTTTTTTCTAAGGTACCATTGCAGTTTAAAGCGGCCATGGAATTAGGAATATCAGGGTATGCTTCTTTCTTAAGTTGCATTATGTTTTTTCTGCATTATAAACTACTCTTTTAAAGATACTGACACATCAATATGGAAAGCAGTCGGAATTTGCCAGTGTCTCCTGGTAGGGCTCCTCGGGCACCCCCTGACGAAGTAATTCCTCGGACACCTGGTGCTTCCTCGGACAGGTCTGAAAGTTTTGGCAAGACAAGTGCTGACGAAGAAGATTTATTGTTGTCCTTATCCCACGTCCTTGAATCTGATGGGGCTGATCTTGCCACAACAACTAATACTTTGTCTTATCAGGTATTTTATCTGTTATTATATAGAAGGCATATTTATCAATATATTTAATCAATAATACACTTATCAACACGTGGCATCACATCAAATTTACTTTACAGAATTGCCCTATCTGCCTCACAAATCTCATGGACATGGCATTTGGCTGTGGGCACATGGTGAGTCCCTTAGTCAAGTGGGGATTGTTTCCTTTTCTTTTTGGTTAAGACTTTAAGAAAATATACTGGATTATTATACAGTAAATGAAGAATTCACTTTGCAGTTTTGTGGTGACTGTGGAACTGAACTCGAGCGATGCCCTTTCTGCAGGAGTCCAGTCACCACAAAAATAACTCTACATCAACAGGTACTTCCACTTCAATTCTCTTTTTAAGTGCTACTACCCACTTCTGTTGTTGTAGACATCCAAGTGGTACCGATCATATAGGATGTGTTTGGTTGAGGAATAGGTGGTCCATCATCTTCTCACTCCTTACTTTTTTTCCATGGAATGGAATGGAATGTATTGATCCATAATCACCTCATTCCCCACAAGCTAATAATTAGTGAATAAGCATGAGGGATGGAGTCACTACACCAAAATCATGGGATGAACTCATTATGTACCACCTCATCTAGTATGGGTAGTTCCTCAAGCAAACAGCCCCATAGATTTGACCTCATTTTTTCAAGGGCTCTTTTAAGGTACTCGATCTAATCTCAACACAAATAGATATGGGCCTTCGATTTTTTAACCAATGAGGTCATTAAAAATGTTGTTAGCACTTAGCAACTTAACTGCTACAACCGGGTTGCTTCCTAGGAGTTCCAATGAAAAGTCAAATTCTCACAGATCCAAGTTTCCTTCTTTGGTGTCCCCCAAAAGGAATGCCCATGTGTGCATCTCATTCTATTCCTCCCCTTTCCTTCAATCAGAATTTGTTTGTCCAAAAGTAACCAATTTGGTGAAACCATCTTCAAACTAATCATGTTTGCATCATTATTACATACTCACGCCACACTCACTAGGACCATAAACTGTATTAACACAAATTTGCGATCAGGCATTTGAACCCTACCAACAAATTATGATGCATTTGAACACACATCATGCTCCATGAGATAAAAAGGGTATTTAATTTGTGCACCAACGCATGATTAATCACTACTCTTTGTTAGAATCTCATAATTCGTGGTGAATTAAACTTCAAGCGGCACATAATTCTCACACTAAGGAAACGTGTCACTCGCAAGTTTGACCCACAACACTTTTGTTCTAATGATGAATTCGTGGTGCATTTCATTTGTTAAGCAAGAGACATTTAGTGCACACAGGATCAATGTACATTTAGCATTGACCATGCATAGCTATAATTAGGGAACTGTTTCCTTCAATGCTAAACTTTCCAAATGAAAAAAAAACTGAAATACTTAAAATGATCATGAGTGATCTTTTAGCTTGTATAGGAGGTAATAGGGCACCTTCTCTAATCTCATCAGTCGTTGGGGTTAAACAAGTCAGACAGTTCATAGTAGTTTTAGTACCAAAGATTAGCCTTTTTGAATTACTATGTGTCTGTTCCACAAACCTATACAGGTGAACCACATATGCACAAATCTAGTTGCGTACTCTGGATTCTATCCTCATCCCACTTGGGCCTAATATGATTTGGGCATCCCTTCTCCGACTTAAAAATGCCCTCATCTTTTTTTTTCTCGGACATGCATAAGAGTTGCATATTATTTTGTTGAGAAGAAGAGAAAAGTTTAGAAACCCTCATAGAACCACACCACATCCACTCACACGGTCACACCATATAAGTATGCAACCGCACAGACACAGATTTTTTTGTCACACAGACGACCCATCCTATATATACGTCTATTACAAACAAAAAAAAGAGAAAAAATAGTGACATGGTTAGTTTCCATAACAAATTCAGAAGTCCCTTTCTATGTGAAATGTGTTTACATACATTAACGGTTTTGAATGGTCGACACATTAGTAAAGCATCTCTAGAAATATATATTTTTTTGCTTGCTGTTAGATCTATTAGGAATTGTAGGATGTAATGTGTTTACATACATTAGCATGTTTCCTTATCATTTTTCAAGCCAAATAGTGTTCTGAACACACACCCCGCAATGTTTATCAGGATGTGTGCCCTGTCTGCCTTGGGGACACCAAAGACATGGCTTTGAACTGCGGGCACCAGGTGAGCCTGCTACTCTAGCCCTCCAGTTAACTCATGGCATGGGATTAATGAACTTCTTTTCTTTATTGATTGTCTAGGACCTGCAGAAACATGAACATTATCATTTTTTTGACGAAAAATTATAATCCATTTGCAGACTTGCTGCGCTTGTGGACCCAACCTCGAGTCATGTCGGAAATGTGGTGATCCGATCACAGAGAGAATCAAGCTTTACTGATCACAAGGTAGCAGTTTGAACCGCAACATATTACAGTTGCTGCTGCTGCTGCTGTTATAGTGTTATTAATCTTCGGTTTGTTTATCGTTCAGATCACACAGGGTCTTGCACTTATATGGTCTGATCATGGATCAGCGCTTCAGCTGGTACACACGAGTTCAAAATTGTGTTTGAACTTGGACAAATTTTCCATCGATTTGGTTGGTTCACGGGGGTAGTTATGAGTGTTGTCTGAGACAATTGTAGCCTTTGAACCCCCACTTTTTCCCGTTGCAGGTGTGCTTTGATTGTATTTCTCTACTACTAAAACCACGAGTGTTTCTTCTTTTACTGTCTTGCGTTGAATCCCTTTCACGTCTGTCTTCCGGTCTCGCATTTGAGCACGTCTACCGTCTGACTTCCGTTCCCTTAATTTCCATCAGTAGCATGAATATAGTAGGCCAAATAGTCATTTTGGTACCTCAACTATCGTTTGAGGCTTAATTTTTTATTTAAACTTTCAAAATAGTCGTTTCAATCCTCAAAATTTACTTTTGGGTTTAGTTTTATCCTAAAACTATTAAATTGATTCTTTGAGTACTTAAATTTTACATTTTAGGTTCAATTTAATCCATGGACCCACATAGTTCATGGATGAAATTGAGCATAAAAGTAGAATTTAAGGACTGAAATAGTCATTTCGAAAGTTTAGGAATGGAATTGAACTTTGGACGACAGTTGAGGGATCAAAATGACTATTTTACCAATATAGTACAAGTCCTATTTTGGTTGGGTCAGCACCGGTATGGTAGCAGAGGATGAAATAAGTGTTGACATCGTTGTGTGGATGATTAGGGATGAAAACAGGACATACATTTTCCAATGTCCGTCTGTCCCAAAATGGTTTAACCCTTATTTGGATAGTGCATATATATGAATCCTGACATTTAATAATACAACAACAACAACAAAGTCTTTAAGTTCCAAACAAGTTAGGGTAGACTAGAGTTGAAACCCAGCAGAAGCAATCAAGAGCATATCTAAGACTAAGTCTTTAGGTATATTTCATCCTTTCAAGTCTCCTTTTACTGCCTCTACCCAAGTCAACTTCGGTCTTTCTCTGTCTCTCTTTACGTTACTATCCTAGCTTAGGATTTCACTACGCACCGGTGCCTCTGAAGGTCTCCGTTAGGCATGTTCAAACCATCTCAACCGGTGTTGGACAAGCTTTTCTTCAATTGGTGTTACCTCTAATCTATCACGTATATCATCGTTCCGAACTCGATCCCTTCTTGTATGACCGCAAAAATAGGCGCAGCCGCTTGGGCTCTCCCATCGGAGAACTGGATACAGTATTTGTTAATGGTCAATTTGTTCTTATTACTAATTTTTAAGTTCATATTTGTAATGGTTTACACCTCTAAGCAGGAAGCTGCTAAAAATAGATGGATTGCACAATATCAACAACTAATCACGCACGCATTGCTCTAAATCCATAATATAGAATAGGGGGGAAAATGCATGAAAATCTCAACCATGCACCTAATGATAACAACAATTAGTCCTTGGCTCCTTGCTTATATTGTACAAATGTGTGTATTGTCCTCTTAATGCATTACAAAAGCATAATAATGTTTAGCTATTTAATTTAATAGACCAAAAGCAGAATACAGAAAACAACTTCCTTTGAAATCTAAACATACAACTGCAATGTTTTCAATATTCTTAGTACAAATATATGCAGCTCACCTGCGTGTACTTGAGAAAAAAACTACAAATAAATGTAGACTATTGTGTTGCAAATGAAGACACTGCTCAAAGTGGAGGAAAAGTTATAGTGCTAACTCTTGTAGCTACACCTGCAAGCAAAGTGCTGCAGTCTTATAGTAGAAGTTGAATATGAAATATGCAAAAAAAGGGGTTATTCTTAAGAACCCTAGAACAGAGACAACATGGTAGACAGGCAGCTCAGGACAGAGAATAGTATATTCTACGCCATCTCAGGATATCCTACATTACTACTCTAAGAATATTTACAAAACAAGGTCAACACATCAGCAACGGCTTTAGCTGCCTAGGAATCAATCAATGGGCAGTACCAATGCAGTCTTAATTATGACAAAGGGTCAAGCTATTAGCACATGTTGTGTGAAGTTCTGCAAGAAACTGCTTAATCACCAACTTGTCCCCTTCTTGGAGAACTTGTAACGATGCATCAAATGTAGGAGTAGTCGAATTTCTCTCTTATGGATCAGCTAAAACTTCATAGCATCTACAATTTACAGAAATTAGGAATTGTCCAATCAAATAAGATTCCTTCATTTTAGATTTGATTTTCTGACAAATAAAATATTTAGATAAACTTACCAATCGCAGCTGCCGTTAGCCTACACACACAAAAAAAAGAGAATCTGCAGTAGATATAGCACATGGACATTTATTGGTTCGTACAGCTGGGAGCGGGGGAGGCAAAGGCAGGCAGAGTAGAGGATGGAGATTGGGCAAGTATCATCCAGCTTCCTGCCTTTTGAGTTTGCCTCCCATCACGTACATTGTGGATGAAGACCGGTGATTTTGAATAAATAAATAGTAAGCCAGAATTCTGAATTCGAATTTTGGAGTCAGTAATCTTGCTACTCATGGAATAAGTTTGTGACAAAATTATATAACACTTAATTCACATGGAGGACCCCATATGTTTCAGAAAATTTGCCACACCAAAATAAGCTTATGACTTTCAGAGAAAAGTATGGTTGGTTGTATATGCACTTATGCATTCATTGAGTTATGTCGATAAAATTGTATAGAATATAGCCATGAAAAGATAGCCAGGTAATATGAATACAGTTTTTTGCTTGAACAATGATCAATATTATGAATGTAAAACTTTGTATTCAGAAGCAAATGATCCTCAACAAGCTTGCATCATGCTCCCTTCAATCAATGTCACATTTCTATGTTTCACCCAAAATTAGCTCTGCAAGTGCTACTCGGCTATAACTCCTAGAAACATTAACCATTGAGAGAGCACTTTACCTTGCTGGCATTTCATCGAGCAGCTGTTGGGCGCCGTCCATGTGGTCGACCACTCCGTCTGCTAGGCGCTTGCCGGTGCGCTCTGTGGCGCGGCAAGCCGCTTAGGGGCGCGTGAGGCTGTGCAGCACTGGTGTCACTGGCCTTTTTGCATCGTGTGCATCTTACGTGGCGCTGGCACGGACCCGGGGTTCTCCGCGGGCGACGGGTGGCGGCAGGCAGGCATCAGGGATGAGCAGAGGTAGGAGCAGAGGGATGCCGGTGCCTTTGGCTTGAGGACGGGGCGGAGGAGTGGAGCATGGCCGCGGAGGAAGCAGTGAACATCGAGGCGCCAGGCGGGGAAGGGAGCTCGCAGCATGGTGGATGCGGCGCCATTGTGGCGCTGCAGGACCTCAGCGCGCGGCTGATTAGCGCGTGCGGCCACCGGCCAGATCGTGCAGGATGCAGCGGAGGCAGTTCGTGTCGGGGACCAGGCCGGTGTCCCGTGTCCGAGGACGGGCGATCTGGAACGACGATGGCAACGGAGGGGACTGAATTTTTTGGAAATGGTAGCTGGATTGGGCACGCTGAACGTCCGATCAAAATCCGACGGAGGAGAAAATCGGACGACGTGGCCCAATGACATGCTGTCGTTTATCCTGCAGATTCGTATTAAGGAGATAGCAACATATTATAAGATAAATTAAGAGTAAAAAATATTATATTACAAATTTTAAAGGATATGTCTCCGTTTTCAGGTGACTGATGGTTTGATTGCACCATCCTGGATCGTTAGATCAAGATCTAACGAATATAGTGTTTTCTTCTTCCTCCCGCCGCTCGCCCCTCCTCTGCGGCGTCCTTGCCCCCGCCGCCCCACCCCCGCCGCGGCGAGCTAGGGTTCGTCGGAGCTCCGGCAAACCCTAGCTCACCCGCGGCGCCACCTTCTTCCCCTCCCCTCCCCCTGTCACCGCCGCCACCACTATGGCCGGAGCTCCCCTGCCCCGACCACCCCTACCGCCGCCAGGTCTACTAAACCGCCCATCGACCATCCTCACCGCCTGGCCTACCTACCTCCCCTCGGCCGGCCATTCTATACCCCGCCGAAGTTGGAGAAGATAAGGGGAGCTCGCCGGAACCCTAGAAAGAAGATCTAGAAGGAGGAGGCCTACTTGGCGGATCCGCCGCCGCCACTGCCAGATCCGACGGATCCGCCGTCGCCGCCACTGCCATGGCCGGCACGGGCGCGGGGAAGAGCTTGCCTTTGCCGGGCGCGGACGCAACCGTCGCGAGGAGGCCGCCGGGGAGGGAGGGAGGAAGGGAGAGAGAGATAGGTGTGTGGAAGAAGGGGCGGGCACGGTCGACTGATGCGGAAGCGAAATATTAGGCGACCGTCATCGAGCATTTCTGAATTTTAAAACGATTATCATTTCGAGATGGAGGGTGTAACATTTAATATTTCTATATGACTCCTAATAAGATTATATAAAACCGTACGAGAATACGAGTTGGACTAATATATCGAAGGAGGCCCAAGTCTCATAAACTCCTTTCCATGTACCCAAACCCAAACCAACAAACAGCGCCATTCAACACTGCCAACTACGACTACGGTGCAGGTGCAAACGTCATGAACCGGCACACACATACGCAGCTTCCTTATTATTTGCCTAACGTAAAATGAGAGCACAACAGCTACAAATAGCGGTATCTCGAATTAGGACAGTTCAATCGAGACCAACAGCATGCTGAGCTGAGCTGTACATTCTACAGCCGCGAGCGGCCGATCCTGTCGCTGTCAGTGATGACGTGGGCGCGGGTGATCTCCCTCAGCGACGTGCAGCCGCTGAGCGCCATGGTGAGCTCCAGCTCGTCCCTCAGCATCTGCAGCACCTTCCGCACGCCGGCCTCGCCGTCCACTGCCAGCGAGAACAGCACCGGCCGGCCGATCTGCAGCACCAATCAACAGTGTCAGGTGTCAAGCTTGAACGAGATAACAGTGTTAGCAGTGGCCAGGCCAGTGGGTGTGTCGTCCTTACGAACACTCCTGAAGCTCCCAACGCCAGGGCCTTGAACACGTCCGTGCCACGGCGGACGCCGCCGTCGAGGAACACCGGCAGCCGGCCTTTCGCTTCCCTCACGACCTGAATTCATGTGGCCCTTCTCGTAAAAACCTCAGCAAACATGGAAGTTGGAAAGCCAGGAAGCACAAGCAAAGCTTCTTCTGAAGACTCGGCTATTCATAATGAAGCTGTCTGTGCTTTTCTGGAAAACGTAACCTCTGAAGCTCTGAATCTGAATACAGAAGGATAGTTAGCGTACCTCTTCCAGGCAGCTGATAGTTGCAGGAACATAATCTAGCTGGCGTGCGCCGTGATTGGACACAATGATCCCAGCAGCGCCATATTCAATTGCAAGTCTAGCTGCATTGCGTATATGTTTAATGCTGATGCGAAACTGAAGCTGCACCTCAAGGTCTGAAAGTCTGAAACTGAACACTTACTGTCTTCTGCGGTCACGACTCCTTTCACTAAGATCGGCAACGAGGTAATTGTCTGCAGCCACTTGATGTCCTGTTTGTTGTATTGCTACTTATCAGCATTTTATTGCCACATACTAGAACACTTGAATGCAAGTAGAATGAAATACTATTGCATTTGTGTTTTTTGAATGCATCTTCCATTTATGTCAAACTTCAGATTAGCTGTTATCTGAAACTAGGAAGCTAGGGTGTAGTAGTGTAGAAATAATACCTTCCAGGAAAGAGTGCGGTCAACTTGACCAGCAACATAGGAAGCAAGGCCAGAGTCGTTTGTCTGACACATCAAGAGATATTTGGTAAGAAAACCTGAAGAAATAGATGCATTTTTATAGCCCTATGTCAAGCTCAGTTTTCAGGTAACCTTGTCCATCGTGCCAAGATCCAGCGCTTCAAAGTTTTTCAACGTCAGATGTGGAGGTAAGGTGAATCTGCATGGTTTCACAGTATATATGCAGCGTGTATTCGATTCCTAATAGAAATAATGAACATTCGTCCTGTACAGCACACTGGGTTCAGTTGTTAGATTCGCACCTGTTTTTTATATCAGCTTCCCTGCGGCCAAGTATTGGAGTGTCTACAGTGAGTGCAATAGCTTTAAAGCCAGCCATTTCAGCCCTTTTCACGAGTTGCCGTACTATATTCCTGTCCTTGTAGACCTGATGGAGACAGATGATTCATGGTAAGATCAGTGTGATGAATAAGCAATGCCTCTTGTAAGTTCATGCAGATAATCATGCATACATAGAGCTGGAAGAAACGTATGCCTGGCCCAACTGAGTTGACCTCTTCAACGCTGGAAGTAGACCATGAGGACAATGTCTGAAAAAAAAACATAAGATCAGTCATAGGATCAGCACAATGGATTAGGGTGTGTTTGGTTCCATGGATATCCATGGATATATAGTGTTTGGTTGGATGGACAAGCTGAACCTGGATATCCACAACAGGAAATATTCTGAGTAGATGCTGGATATCCTGGCCCTCAAAAATCTGACGGATGAGGATGAGGATATCCACATATTGATTAGCGCATGTTTTGTGTGACAATTAGAGTAGTATAGTGCTAATTAACATATTTTATTTTTAATTAGTGATTATAATGACAAGATTAGTGTCAGTGCATATTTATTAGGGTATAATTAGTTGTTGTTATTTTTAAATAATAGATATAATTAGTTAAGTATTCTCATCCTATGCAATCTTATCCATCCAACTAAACAGAAAAATGGCTCGTCCTATCCATCCAACAAACAAACATGATATCCATATCCCAAAATCCATGGATGGCCATATCCCATCCACCCTTCGTCAAACCAAACACACCCTTAGTGTTCAGGTCATGACTGAGGTGCCACAAGCAGTGTGATCTTTCAAACCATTATTGTTCCTGCAGAGGCTGCTGCTCTTGCCGTAGCAAGCTCTCCTGCATTCCAGATAATTTCTCCATAAGAACTTTCCTTTGAAAAATGAATAGAAAAGTGTAATTATTGAACATTCGTCCGAACCATCAGGATGGGCCATTTTCTGCATGGCCGAAGGAGCAATCATAATAGGCATGGAAATGTTGAAGCCCAGGACGTTCGTGGCCATGTCGATATGGGAGACGTCAATCAGTATCCGTGGTCGAAACCTGTAATCATTTCCACAAGGAAGCACAAAATGAGGTTCTCAGAGAACAAAGGAGGCCAAGAGGGATTGGTACATTTTGTGCCCCGATTATCACATGCAACGTCTCCTTTTCTCAAACTTGAGTTGATGACTTTGGTGTCAGTGTGTGTGTTGTGGATAGGTTAATTCTTACTATTGTCAAACGTGAATAAAAACAACAACGGTTGAATCAGCAGTGTGCTAACAATCGAGTTAGTGAGCAAAAAGTCTTGGAGATAACTATTTACTGTCTACTACAAACATGCCAAATGCCATACTCAACGTCATCTGTATGAAAATTCAGAGTCCAGATGCATGACCGAAGAGCTGAAACCTGCAAGGACAATAATTTTGCACATGTCCATGCATTTCTAATGTCATGTGTCGTATCTGAGAGTTCCTAGTGAAGTTGCCATCTTCTTTTGACCATGCAGGCCACAAGTCACAAGACAACTTCTGATCTCTTGTCCTCTACTCCATGTGATTGGTCCACTTTGCTACCATTTACTTTTATTAATCAAAGGTGATTTTATCCGCTTAGACTAAACAATTCGACAAAGTGACCTCAGACTAATTGTTATCATGAAGCTATACATTTTCCACAAGGATTGGAGAGGCGCCACATGCATTATCCTACACGCTCAAAAACTTAAAATAATATATGATTTTTCTTGATACATGACAATTTCTATCAGATATCAAAATTTATGTCATCCTTGTATACTTGTTCTGAACGTTTTCCATAAAGTTCCTGATTTTCAGTTAATTATTAGCTGCTGACGTGAGTAAAAACAAGAACAGTTGAATCAGCGGTGTGCTACCAATCGAATACGGCTAAAACCTACTGTTTTGGAAGGTAGCTTGGCTTACAGAATTCTGGAGAAGGCCTCCCTGTTCTCCTTGAGCGTCCACTGATCTTCTGCGCCGGAGGCATAGTAGTCGTACACCATCTTCGGCAGCTTCTCCTTGGCGAGCTTCTCATACTCGGTGACATTTGTGATCAGCTCCATGTCTCTGCCCAGACAATTCCTCACAGTTAGTTCCAGTTCATCGGCAGTTCAGACTTTAGACAACTTCTCTGATCTGCTAATACCACATATTCCACTTTCCATCATAAGAATTCACTTTCCATCAGAAGAATTCAGAACAATATAATGATGTTCTTTTGAGACTGATGATGAAAAATAACAAGAACAAGTGGGGGTTGCCGTATAGTTCAATACAGAGAAATCAAGCAAGGTTAAAACACAAATCAAAACATGGGGCAAAGCAACAAGACCGCAACAACAGAATGATTCGCGGATTCAGAGTTAGGGACATTCTTTGGTAGCCTAGCTAGGTGCATCACATAAATCATCACTGCAAAGACAGGAACCGATCCAATTGAGGCCTCCAATTGATTCCAGCGACCGAGAGGCGAGAGGAACGATTACCCCTACCCTTTCCTTGCGCAGAAGAACCCAAACAAGAAAAAGGGCTTAAACAGGGCCGGAAAAACTAGACCGAATGAAATGAAATGATCAGATGCGAAGGTTCCCTGGGAACTCACCGAGCGCGCAAGGGAAGCGGAAGCGGCCGAGGCTCTGACGGACGCCCGTGTGCCGGCCTTGGAGTGATGAATTGGAGCAGGGGTCTCGTGGTGTGGCCAGCCGTGTGGGTATTTAAACACTCAGATCAGATGGTGTCATGGTGTGTTGTACTGCTGTCACTGTGATGCGCCCGCCCGTGAGGGCTAAGTTGAGTCCTGAGCATCTGACGTGGCAGCATATTTGCTTGTGGGCATGCCATGTAAGGAAATGAGGAAAGAAGAATGAGCAACTAGCGATTCAGAGAAATGTTTCAGAGCAGTGCATGATACTGTCTCACGTTGTTTTGGTCCCTGCACATGCCCTGCAGTTTTGTAGCCGTTCAGGCTCGCTGGACTGCAATTGCAAAATCGCTGGGAGTTCGGCAGCACGGTGCACGCACAAGCACGCTAATGACAGGATAGAGCAGACGTGCGCCAACTTGAGCTTTGAGTTCCGCGCTTGTATTGTTTGTACAGATTCCTGTCCTCCTGTCATTTTGCAGTGTCATTTCTGTTAATTGGCACGAACACAAAATTCTTCATTCTCCGCAGCATCCAAGGCGCGTGCCTGGAATCTTATGTATGTATGTCCAGTCCAAAGTACTACCTCAGCTACGTCCTGTTTAGTTCCACCAAATTCTCAACTTTGACACTATGCAAAAAGAAGATTCTCCGTCATATCAAACTTGTGGTACATGCATGGAGTACTAAATGTTGACGAAATCAAAAACTAATTGCACAGTTTGGTTGTACTTTGCGAGACGAACATTTTGAGCTTAATTAGTCAACGATTGGACAATTATTACCAAATAAAAACAAAACGACACTGTAGCTACAGCGCGTTTGGCGGCGCCAATTCAGCCCAACTAAACGTGGCCCTACTTGTACGCAAGTTGTGGCGTCTCAACTGGACAGGCTGATACACTTATTAGATGGATTTCAAGAATCAGAAACTACACCGGATCCTGAGAGATAAACACGTACATCATGGGCAAAGATCCTGTGAGCTATTCCTTTCACATTGCAATTTGGAGACTGTCAGATGTCGGATTGGATAATGTTATAGTATTAACTTAGCATCATCCATTTTTCCTACGCAACGGTTCAACGAGCCCCGTGTTAAACTGATGGACCTACGAATTGAACTGGTCTGAGTGCATGCGTTAACCCTTTATAAATTAGGATATGGGAGAAGCCTACATTTATACTATGTCCAGCCCAAGTGATAATAATACCACTAAAATATGTATATCCCAGCTGTTGTATACAAGTTGATGTGTCTCAACTAGAGAGCCCGATTAATCTAGTTTGATCTCGTTGAATTGTGAGAACTAGAAACAGTGGACTTCACTATGCCTGACTAGCGCTCCGTTCATTTGGACTTGTTTGGCTTATAAGTCGTACTTTTTCAGTCAACGAACAATATTTTTCTCTCATACCAAATCAACCAACAGTACTTTCAGCCATGGCTTATCAGTCAAACAAGCCCAAACGAACAGGACGTAGAGTTTTCTGCATCAGCCAAATAGGCACCATCACGTGTCATACTTGACGTCACCTGTACTGTACTCTGTAGAGCGGGTCTCAGACTTGTTCGCTATCAGAGGCTCAGAGCACATCTCTATCTCTCAAGAGCCTTTTACCTGTGTGTCATTAAAAAAGTTTATAATTACATACAAGTCATTAAAAAAGTTGACCGCACACAGGTGTCACTGCTCTAAACTTCTTTGCCTTATAAGCCATTCCGTCATTGTTCTGTTTGTTTTTCGCCGTTTGCTAGCCCTTATAGGTGGGACCGGCCAGTGAAATTGTCCATGTTGCCCTTGGACGGTGGAGACCGTGTTGACTACGATTGACAGCCACCTCAGTTCCTCACTCTCCCCATCTCGCTCGAGTCCTCTTCCCCCACACCCTAGCGACGTTGACGGGGAGAGAAGAAGACGATCTAGCCCTACTTGCGGCTGCGCCGCGGAGAGAAGAACCCCCTAATCCCCCGTGCTTGCGTCGTGGAATGGGGTAGTGGAGCAAGGAAGAGGAAGCCTGAAGGAAGAGACCGTGGATCCTCCTGATTGGCGGCACATGGCCGCGAACAAGGGGGCGCGCGCGGGCGACCGGCCTCCTTGGCTTCCTAACGGGTGAGTACCATTTTTAGGGGTTTTCCCCGCTTCGATTGCTTGGTCCTTGTGATTGTGGTCAGTTAGGTGTAGTAGTCGTGGTCGATATAGTGTGATTTTAGATAGATAGATGTATGTAAACTCGCTGTTGTTCATCTGTAGGATGGACCCTGCTAGTAGCTACAACCTAGAAATCCGGATAATTGCTCGTCATACTCGTGCTCGGTGGTTTAGCTTGAACAAAGTCGTCGATGCTGATCGTACCAACTTCGTAGATCTAGTTGCTGAAGTTGAGAATAAGTATCCTTCTGATTATGGGGATGTTGTGAGATTGTTTTACTTCTGCATTGAAAGACAGATGAACATCCAAGTTTGCACCGACCAAGATTTGCTTGATATGTTTGCAAAACATAATGCTTCCAAGTGCTGCTTCTTGACTTTTGGTTACCACAGCCCCAGTACTGAGCCTCCTGAAATTCCTCCTTGGGATTTTAGCAGTTCTTGGCAGTCTGTTGAGAACCCCTTCACTGCCTTGTCCTAGCATTGCACAACCAAGCCATACCCAGAGTGAAACTGCAGATGATGAATACCTGGCTAATCCAAACCCATCCATTGAGCATGTGGGTATTGATGAGGAAGGGTTATTATAGACCTTGGTCCTCAACATCCACCACCTCCAAAACCTCAGAGTCAAGGTTGCAGCAAACAAAGGGATGGTGAAGGATCTGATGCAGATACATACTGTGAAACAGACAGTGATGATGAATATGTGTCTGATGATGATGATAATTATGAAATAGAGGATGTAGATGTCATTGTTAAAGATAATGAGCCTGATCATATGCCTGATGCTGAGTATGACAAGAAGGATCCTCCTATGACAGTAGGCAGTGTGTATAGAGACATGTATGCATTTAAGTTGGCTTTAGCTTCACATGCTGTCAAACATGAGTTTCATTATGACATTGAAAAGAGTGACACAGGAAGGTACAGAGTTTACTGCTGTGGGAGTACTGAGGGCTGCGGGTGGAGAATTCATGCCTCAACCATGAAGGATGATGAATCAATTAAGGTAATATGTTAGTTTCGAATTTGTATAGTTTTTTTATCTGTCAGTTGCTTTCAGATATAAGTATTTCATTTTTATGACATTTGCAGGTGAAGAGGAACCCATATCCCCATACCTGTGAAAGCAAAAGGAGGTCTGGCGTTTGTAAAGGGGTTACACAGTTTTGGGTCTGTGAACAAGTGATTGACTGGTTGAAAGAAGATACAACTGTTGGTGCTACTGAACTCCAAAGGAGGCTGAAAGATGAGTACAAAATCTTGATACCGTACAGGAGGGTGTGGAATGATAAGAATCTTGCATTGGACAAACTGTATGGGCCCTGAAATAAAAGCTTTGATAACCTGTATAGATTTAAGGCTCAGCTAGATGAAATATATCCTGGTTCATTTGTTGTGATTGATCACCACACCATTAACAAGAAAATTAGGTTTAATAGGTTTTTTTAGCCCTGAAACAATGTGTTGATGGCTTCCTTAGAGGTTGTAGGTCATATTTAGCAGTAGATAGCACTTTCTTGTGTGGAAAATTCAGGGGACAGTTGTGCATTGCTTGTGCAATTGATGCGCACAACTGGATGTACCTAGTAGCAATAGGTGTCATTGATTCTGAAACAAATGAAAACTAGGTTTGGTTTATGGAGAGGTTGAAGGAAGCAATAGGCACCCCAACTGGTCTGACATTCTGCACAGACTGTGGATAGGCAGTAATGCATGGTGTTAGTGAGGTCTTTCCACATGTTGGACATAGAGAGTGCATGTGGTATTTACTTCAAAATTTTAAGAAAAGGTTCAGTGGTAAAAATTTTTATGATCACCTGTTGGCATCTGCCTACTCTTGGAGCAAATACATGTGTCTGCCACTCCAGCTAGGGGAAAGATGTGTCTGCCACTCCAGCTAGGGGAACAAGCAGCAAGGCTTCAGCTGACCCTTCTAGCCCAGCTGAAAATACCAGAAGTAAGAAACAACTATTGCTGGAATGAACAAAGGTGACTCCACCATGTTGTTTTGATGATGCATTGGTGCTGTACTCCTGGAGAACACCTTGGCTTTTGTGGTATGAAATCATTTGGATGGTATGAAATGCTGATGTAACGGAGCTGTAATATTTTGCATGTTGTTGAATGGACAATCTGAGAATTTTATATTTCTGGACCATCAGATAGCCTCTTCTTCCTGAGGGCATGCTTATCTTTTCCCCCTTCCGTTAGCCACAGTTAACGCTGCATTTGGACGGAATGGCTTGTAATTCAAAGAAGTTTA